GATACTTCGCTAATTAAGTACATAATCACTACAATGCTGAGTGGCATTAAGCATCAGTGCTAAGCAGTTCAAATAAATAAGTCTTCAATAATTAGGACTGTTTTAACGAACAAGCCAAATTTTGAATTTCAGTTTTCATATTGTTAGTTCTTCACAATTGTTCGTGATCTGTTAGCAGAATTAATAGTCTGGATTTCCTCACCTTCTGAACTTCCTGTATACGCACACATCTTAGTGTAGGGGTGTAGGGCAGTAGAGTCAAATCTAGCCCCTCTGTCTTTTACTATTTCAACATTTAGAATACAAACCACATTTGAAATCTGATTTCCGGATTCACTATTTTCCTTTTATACTTCTTTTAAAAGATGATATTCTATTGATTCTTTGAGAATTTCACACAAATTTGACCATATTGAGATGCCTTCCCCCATCTCCTCTCAGATCCTCCCCCAACTCTCTATGCCCCTTTGCTTCCTGCCCTCTATAATTTTTAAGGCCTATCAAGTCTAATTTATGTGCCCCAAATGTTATTGTGTATGGGACCATTTCCTGGAGTAGTGGTCAACCCACCCAGTATCAAACCCAAACCTGTGCAAGCCCAAGCCAGACAAAGTCCAGCATGGATGGGGAAGGTACACAGCCCTAGCTGAGGAGATATTGGTGATAGAAAGCTGCTGAGAGAGGGTGTGTCAGTCTCCTTCTTCCTGTTTGTCTGTCCATTCTTTCACCTGTTGGAGATGCTTTTCAGTAGACCATACTTTCTGTAGACATTACAAAACTGACAAGAGTCAAAAGATGAAACCAGGAGCATAGGGATTTTCTGTTGCGAATCGAGACCATAAAAAGAAGCTGGAGGAGGGAGTAAATGGAGAATAATATATTTAAATCAATGAATTAATAAACATCTAGTGCCAAGGCAGAAAATGGTATTCATTGTACAACTTAATTCCCTTCTTCTGTCCCTCCACTAAACAATTGCATTCAATTACTAAAATGTTAAACAGTCACAGTTTTCATTGCCTGTAAAACCTCTTTTAAATTATTTATTTCCCCTTATTTGTGTTGCATTCTCAGAACTTTTCTCTATTATTCTTATGCAGGGCATGGGTGTGGGTGTCTGTGTCCATGTGTGCACACATGTGGCATATGCACAAGAGCTTTTCTGCCTGTGCCTGTCTGAATATCCATACAGACACTAGATGAGAGAATTGGGTCATTCTCTAACATTTCTTTGAGGTATGTTTTCTCCCTGAAACCCAAGCAGCCAGCAAGTCCCAGTGATCCTCGTGTGTCTGTACCCAAAGCACTGAGGTGATAGGCCTATGTGATGTCACTGCATCCTTGCTGTGTGATGTTGTTATCTGAATTCAGGTCCACATGAATACATAGCAAGCATTTTTTAAACGTTTTTTAAATTTTATTTATTATTTTTATTATTTATTTATTTATTTATTTTAATTAAAAGAAGCATTTCATTACAACAGCATTAACCTATTCAATAACATTTTTCTGAGCTAGGGTACATCTCTTTCAAAATTGGCTGTACATTTCTAGGTTTACAGAGGAATTATTACACGTATATAATCTTTTACTCATTATAAACTCTATAAGACATAAAATTAAATGAGGTTCCAATGTTTAAAAAAGATCTGCACTTCGTTATCAAAACACACAGTTTCATACAGAAAAATTCATTCCAGGAAGCATTTTTAACCACTGAGCCATCTCTCCAGCCTTGTATTGAAACTTTAAGTCTGTGCTTGAATTCAGTTTTTCCATAACTACTTACCCCAAACTTTCCCCTGTTTCTCTTTTCCAGATGACTCCTTATCTTTCTAAGTCATGAAACCTGTGTTTTTATTTAGCTTATGTATTCCACCCTGAAGCATAACTATCATTTACATGGTCACCCTTTATATCTAATCTCACTCATTTCCATGTCATGTTGTAAATTACTATATGACTATAAGCAAAATTTTGCAATGTGGAACCACAGCAGAGTGTTCAGCTCTCGCTAGGTGCTCAAGGAACACTGAACTGAAGGAGCATATAGGCTGAGGCCTGGTTTGGACTGCTTCCCCTGACTGACAACTCAGTCACCCAACTTTTGGAGGTACATGAACTGTCTTTGGTAGTTAACTTTATTTAATGGGCAAGAAATGATGAATACTGTTAGTTCTCACTCTAAAGATAGTTTATTGATTTTTGATTGAAGACAAAATTATGAACTACTTGCTATATAGACAGAAAACTGTTAATACTAAAGAGATAAACAACAATCACAACCAATCAATTAATAACATGATATTACATGGTTCTAACCTCCCTCAGGTTGGAGAGTGAGAATTAGAACTATTCTCAAGAATAGAGACTTTGTAGTCTGATTAACTTTATTATAAAATTTGGTGATACATTTACAGTATAATCTTGGACTAGTTTTTAACTACTGGTTTCTTCTATAAAATATTGTAAGGCTACAATGGAATTCCATATTCAAAGACTGATTTCAGAATTTTTAGCTATATATAATAATAAGGATAGCTGAAATTATAAAGGAATCATTTACCCATGTTTCATATTGGTAGCCTTTTCAGATTAAATGCATGGTCTTGTGCATTAAATAATGAATAAAAACTGTATTCACATGTTGTTAGAAAAAATCCAATATTCATGCATCCAGGTTATGTATGATTGAGTTTTATATTAGTTGAAATCACATTAAGAAAATGTTTTAGGTAGTTCAAAAATACAAGTATTTAATGTAGAATTTCATTGATTATTTAATTTGTGAAAACTCGAAATTTAGGAAGACAAAACTAAGTTTCAAGATCAAGAAGAGCATCTTTGTTTCAAACTAGTGATGCACAGATGGGGAAAAAAAGAAAAGAAACCAAACAACGATAATTTCTTCACCTGTACACTACAACCTCAGGTTGAACAGAAAAAAGCGAATCCAGCAAAAGAGGCTGTGAGATGGGAGGAAAGCCAAGTGCCTGGTAGACTGAAGGCAGAACTAGCTGGGAGTTGATCTCATTAGATGAAGGACTAGGAAAGGCCACTGCAGTTAGCAGCGTGAAAGTCACTAAGGGTTAGATGAGGCATTCCTATGGAACCCTTGAGGAAGGTAAATGGGATAGGATTAAACTGGAAATACATGAAGAGAATGGGTATATTCATATGTGCATGCTTCTACATGTGCACATGAAATACAGAGTAGACAATTGGCAATAGTAACATCAGGGGTATCTAGCTAGGCACTAACTAGAGTCTTTGTATGATGGAAAAAATAAAAATAATTTTTGGTAGTGAGAACAGACTAAAATAGCACTGAGAAAACTTCTTATGTAATAAACCAGGGTATATATTTTAAGCTCTGTGGACCATGTAGTCTCTGAATCACCTAGACTCTGTATATGAATATCAGTATAGCTGTGATTCATTAATAAATGCTTTATACATGAATAGAATGAGGCTCCAGTTTGCCACCTTGGAGCTAATATGAACAGAAACACCGATGATGAAGGTAGGAAGTGGAGCACAGCTGAAGTGATGCTCTTGAAGAGGTGAGAGGAGATAGGTTTTGTGCACAGGCAGTGGCTTGGGAGCTTTGAACATGAGTTCAGCTATGTTTGAAAGACAGGTGGACAAAAATTTGCACAGGTGGCCTGATATGGGCTTGTAAACCTAGACAATCTCTTCTGAACTCTTCAGCTTCCTCCAAGAAGTAAGAAACAAGGTTATTACACGTGAGTGAGAATTCAGAACGAAATTTCAAGTTTTAAGATGGTAAGAAGTGGGGCTGGAGAGATAGGATTCAGCAGTTCAGAGCACCGGCTGCTCTTTCAGAGAAACCGGGTTCAATTCCCAGTACCCACATGGCAGCTAACAGTTGTGCTTAACTCCAGTGCCAGGGGAATCCAACACCCTTTTCTAACCCCACTGGCATTGCACAACACAGGTACACTTACACACATGCAGGCAATACACTCATACACATAAAATAAAAATAATAAATAAAATATTTTTAAAAATAAGAGATGTATGAAAGTCTTATGACATAACTGTAAAGTAATTGACCTGAGAAAACACTATATGTAATCAATATCTTAGTAAAATGCCCAGTGTTCAAGTTAGAATATTCCAGAGGTGTTTTTTCTTACTTTTTATTCATTGTCTCAGTAATTTATGTTATTTCTAAAGCTCCCACTAATTTTTGAGTCTTAATTTTTGTCTTCAGAATTCATTATTCATCCTACAGAAAAAACACAAATTGCATTGTTATAATTAATTTAAACAATATTTTCAGACAGGAAATCAGTCATGTCCTCCACTGAAATGTTTTTTCTAGGCCAGGAAGACTCTGTAGTTATAAACTGTACAATAGGTGTCCTCACTGCCTCCCGCAGCATTACACTGAATCCTGATTAACTCTGAAGTTTTGCTAACCTGCGTCTTCAATGATGTATTTCTTCTGAAAAAGCTCTGGCATAATAAAACATTTTATTTCCAGTATTTTTTTAATATTTTCTACTAATGAAAAGTAAATTCTTGAGGTAAAATATATTCGCATTGATTGCTATGAAGGTTACACATGGACTGGTACATCAAAACAAGATAACAAAAGATAGAAAATCAATTGATGTGTCAGATTGGGAAGCGTTGAATGGGGAAAACCAACAAGCAGGTTGACACTTTGCCTCTTGGAATAATTTAATTTACAAGAATTTGAAAAGATTTGTGACTTTGAACATAGTAATATGCTAACAAGCAGAAAACTGAACAGATCAATTTAAATTTTATTAGCAACACTTGAAATAAATGTAAACCAATGTATTTTAAGAAACTAGACATAGGTTTCTGCTTCTTTGAATCAATCACAGAAACATTCTTGGAGAACTGTTATAATTTTGTAGTTAAATGCTGAGCACTGACAATATTAAATTTCAATATTTGTATGTGTGCAATTCAATACAGAGATTATCTTTGTGTTTCCTCTACAGAATTGCTATCCAGTTGTCAGCAGCTGAATTGCCAGTTTAAATGTGCAGTGGTCAGAAACAGTACACGATGCTACTGTAAGGATGGATTTGAAGTGGCAGAAGATGGGAGAAGCTGCAAAGGCAAGTGTGAAATTTGACTCCATCTGGATGAATCAGCCTTCTGATGCTGCAAAATGTACCTGAAATCATCTTAAAAAGAGGAAAGATTTATTTTCCTCTCTTTCCCACAGTGGTACACTGAATCCTGATGCTCATGCTTTTTACCTTTGCATTTGGACAGGAGCACTCTGGATAAAGGAAGCCTGTTCACATTATAGCCATGAACAAAGTAAAGCACAGTGACACCGAGAGCCACAGTCCCTTCAAGGGCAATTCTGAAGACCTAAACCGCCTACCCTCCCTGCTTCTGTACCCTTCCCTGCGTCCAATAGGTAGAGCACAAAGCCTGCATTCATGGGGCTTGGACACATTGAAGAGCCAAAGTTTAGCACTTCTGAAAAATTTCATACTAGCTTAATTGATAGAAATTTAATTAGGTAATTTTGAAAGCAGTCATGCATTGCACTAAATTTTTACAATGCTTTTCTTCTTAAAATTTAAAATTCAGTGTTCCGTATAAAACACTAACACTACTTATGAACTTATACCAATCAATTTTCAATTTATTTTGGAATAATAGCATAATTTGGAAAGAGTGGAAGTATTGTTTTTGTTTACCACTAGAATAATTGATTTCATTATTTTAACAATTGGTTCATGGCTGTCACATTGCTGCAGTCTAATAGACATGTATTATTAAATAAGTTAATAATTACTAATTATGCAATGTTCTTAAAAGCTTTTATATCCATAATTCTGAAAGCTGGTATTTTGTCAATTCCATGATAATAAATATGTAAATTGGTTTATTTTCCTATTTTTCACTTGCTAATTCTAGCTTGAGGGACTAGGACTTAGTAGCAGAGCAGCTGCCTAGCATTCATGAGGCCCTGGGTTCAAAACCAAGGACCTCAAAGGTGTAAAATACTCTTGCTTTTTTGAATATTCTGCATCAAATAGTTATACTTTAAAATTACTCCATCTGGAACACTGAAATAATACAGGTCCATGACTCCATTGGGTTGACTCTAATTACATGTGTTTTAAGATACATATAATCTTTTATTTATATATATATATATGAAATTTCAGTTACATATATTTTACAGTGTATAATCTCCATATATTTCAAATGTTTTAACCATATACCAATCATATATTTACAAATTATATAAATATAATATGTAACAAGGAACAAAAACAATAGCTGCAATGTCCAAACCCTGAATAATTAAATATTCTTCAAAATGACTGCTTTTTCCAAAGAAATGTTGCTTTATTGGTTATGTTACAACTGTTGCTTTATTGGTTACAACTTTGCTCAATAGTACCACTTTTTTCTTAACACAGATTTTAAAATATTTTATTCGTCATTTTTATTTTATGTGTATGAATGCATTGCCTGCATGTAAGTGTACCCATGTCATGCAGTGCCTGTGGAGGTCAAAAAAGGGCGTCGGATCCCCTGGAACTGCATTTACAGATGGTTTTTAGCCATCATGTTGGTGCTGGGAATTGAAACTGGGTCCTCTTCAAGAGCAACCAATGCTCTTAAGCACTGAGCCATCTCCATCCCTTAATACAGAATTTTAAAGTTAAGAGAATTGTTAGAGAAAATATTGTTCAAATTTCTAATGGCTGAAAAAAGCAGAAGTGAGATCTTGAGAAGGTTATCCACCTTCTAGGTAACAGACTCGAGCCATAAACTCCAGTCTGCAGTCTGTATTTGTTGTAAAGAGGCTTGCTGCCTTTTGAGTACTACATGGGACATGAATTTTAGTTTATTGTTTGTTTTGTGTATAACACAAATGTTATAAAATAATTTATTATCAACTACTTACCATATTCTGAATCTGCCATATTAGGAAAACATAGCTTTTAAATAAAATTCAATAATCAGAAGATTATATACAAAAGTTCATACTTTCTGAAAAAAATCATGTGAACATGATAGTCCTCATAGCAAATGAAAGTCAGCCCAAACTCAGTGGTGTTAGATGTAAATGACACCTGTATACATGCTTGCAATTCCCAGTTCAAATTTATATGCATTCACACTCCGCAGTCTCACTCACTAAGACTATCGCACAAAGTCAGAATTTGCACTTTGTAACAAAGGTAGAACTGAATTAAAGAATACAAATCTTTTTTTCTCTTAATTAAATGCATAAGCTCAACCATAGTCAGCTTCTTCTGTTGAAAAATAAAAAATAAGCAAAAAATAATGTGCCAACTATTTTGAAAATCACCACCAGAAAATGCATCATTTTCATGTTCTTTGCACTCCTTGATGGCTAAGCATTAGTGAGAATCATTTATGTTTCTCCCACATTGTATTTCCAATCGATTATTTGTCCTTAAGGGGAAAAAGGAGGTGACATCACACGTAATGGCACGATCCTTGTGGCCAATTTTGTGGAGTTGAATCAGTGTCACAGCAGTACATTCTGCCTAGTTAGAAAGAAACAAAGGAAATATTAATCACATTTCTCTTCTAGATAGTATAATCATATCAGAAAAACTAAAATACAAACCAGTAATGTTAAAATTGAAAAATATGTGAAAGTAAATTAGCATCATTACCTGCCCAAGGGCTCAACTTTTGCAAACACAAGATTGAATTTCTTTTAGCATTTCTGTAGACTTCGCTCCAAATCCTGTTCTTTTATCCCTCAAAGTACTTAGTTCAAATGAGCCACCCATTACTGCAGGTTATTATAGACTGTAAAGGAATCTGAGAACGGAGAAAATGAATTCCATGTAGACTCACAGTTTCCCCGTTTAAGTAGTCCCTTATGCTACTTACTTGGCAAGTTTTTTGCTTTCACTTATCGAGCTCCATTATTAACTTCAGTTTTCCCAGAAGCCAACCTTGAAACAAGAATTCAACTCAAAGATACTCTTTATTTTCTCCTCTCTCCCCCTCCCCCTCCCCTGTCCATCCCGTCCTCTCCCCTCCCCTTCCTCTCCTCTCCTTTCCCCTCACTTCCCCTCCTTTGCCCTTCTATTGATCTTCCTTCCTTCCTCTGGCTCTCATTCCTGCCCCCTCTCCCTTCCTTTCTCCCTCCCTCCTTCCCTCTTTCCCTTCCTTTTCTTTATTTTAATGGTAGTGAGAGGTGGTATAGGAAGAGCAAGATCATCAATATTTTGAAGAATTCATACATTTACAGCTCATTTCGAGTGAAGTTAAATGCGTAGCAAAACCGTGTAGGATAAGTGATGAAAGAACTGGGGTATTTGTTATACAATTTCCCAGGAGTAAACTGTTCTGTGCTGGAGGCAATACCATCTCTCCTGGAACTTTGCTGGTCTTCCTCCCTGGCAGATTCTCATGGGAAGGACTTCAGGATTGGCACAGGACCCACCTTGTGAACGCACACTGAAAGATCTTTGAAATACAAGCAGAGAATATCTGCTATAAGTCCTTTGAACATCTTTTGTTCTAAAAAATATGTTATTTGTTCCTTTTATTTTATGTGTATGAGTATATTGCCTGCATATATGCAAGTGTACTCATGTCATGCAATGCCCATGGAGGTGAGAATATGGCATAGAATTCCCCCAGAATAGGAATTAAAAACTGTTGTTAGCAGCCATGTGGGTACTGAGAAGTGAATCTGGGTCCTCTGCAAGAGTAGCCAGTGGTCTTAACCACTAAGCCATCTTCCAGCCCCAAACTGATTTTTCTTGAGATATTTTTAAAACTAAAAAAATGCATATGAGTGTTTTGCTTGTATGTATGCAAGTGCACCAAGTGTATGCAAGGCCCTTGGAAGCCAGAAGTGTTAGATCCCAGTTACAGACGGTTGTCAGTTATCATGTAGGTGCTGGGAACTGAACCCAGGTCCTCTGCAAGAGTAGTCAGGGAGTGCCTGTAACCTTGAGATTTAAAAATCTTGTTTAAATTTATTCTAAAGTATATGCTATCCTCTTTTTCAATAATTTTTATTGATTTCAGAATTTCATACAGTTTATTTTGATCACATGGAAAACTCTTCCCACGATTTCATGTCCTCTATTATTATCTATCATTTTATTTGTTTGTTTGCTGTTATTTAATTTTTGTTTTTTTTAAAGGCATATCAATTCCAATTCCTACTTCTCAAGGGCTCCCAAGGGTAGGAGTCTGTACTCTGGAGTCTGTCCAACCTACCAGATATCACACCAGTAAGGAAAATTGATTCCCTCTTGCCCAGTATCCATCAATAGCCAATTCTCAGTTAGAACAGAGGCTTCCTACCCACTCACCCATCCATGCTGGGCTTCTTTTTTGCTTCTGCTTGTACAGGCCTGAACATGTTGTCACAAGCACTGGTAGTTCATATGTGCAACTGCCTTGTGGTGTCCAGAAAACAGTTTCCTTGTATTCATCACCACCTCTGACTCCTATAGTCTTTCCATCCTCTATTCTGCAAGGATCCCTGAACCTTTAGAGAGGAAGGTGTGATATAGGCATTCCACTTATGTCTGAACACTCCAGAATTTCTTATCTTCTGCACTCTGGCTTTTTGTGGGTCTCTATGTTAACCACCGTTTGTTGTAAGAATGAGTCTTGTTTGGTTAGAGCTGAGGGGTGTACTAACTTACGGATAGGACAGTAAGTCATTGTGCATTAATTTAATATTACGTTTATTTAGCAGAATGACTGTAATATATTCTCCCATATGGCCCATGGTTTGTGTAGACAAAGATTCTTACCATGATAAATGTCAGGTGTGGACTACCTGTGGTGAAGTATACCTTAAAGCCCATTAAAAGGTGATTGGTTACTCCCATAATATTCTTGCCATTGCTGTACCATTGGCATATTTTGTCAAGCCAGCTGCTACCGTAGCTCGCCAGGTTCACAAATGGACAAGGTTGATGATTACTTTTCTGTGTTAATAACATGCATAGCACCTTCTAAGTACTATGAAAACTAGTCAGCAGAGGTGTAGATTCAAGGTCAGCTTTTTGTTTTGTTTTGCTTTGCTTTGTGTTTTGTGACCATCCCAGGCTGGTCACAGCAATCTCATAGCAAT